CAAATTTCGGGGGGCCCAAATTTTTATCAAGAATAAATTATGTGTTAAAAAATCTATAGAAAATATTGATTATTTATGATAAAAAGTATAATTTTACCCACTTTAACATCTTTTATACTTTGTTAAAAATAAGAATTAATAGTGAAAAGTGTTGAACAAAGTGAACTACAAATTCTTTTTTATTTCTTTTTAAATTTTAGTTTCAAGCATTACTACAAGTATACTAAAATGGGGTATACCAAGTCATCAACTTGTTGCGTCAAATTTTATGGTTCTAACTCTTATCTTTAATTAATATTTGTCAACTTATTACTTGTATAATTATGTTAACAATTCATATAATAATTGCTACACTGAAAGGATGTTTTTCAATGTTGAGTTGATAAAATCTTACCTAAAACTACTAACTGAAAAAATAATTTTCATCTAAATAGTGTAAGCAAAATAAATTTTGAATAAAATATGTATATGGAGTTTGTTTATATTTTAGGCCCTGAATTGAAATTTTGCTTTAGGCCCCCAATCACGTTGAGCCGCCCCTGGATAACGATTACCTCTAATCTATTGGTTTCGATCCACTCATATTTGAAAGTTTCATGTGCTGCTCCCTTGGGTGCGGTTGAAATCGAGGACGTGAAAAGATCTTCGCTTGAAGCGCTAATTTTTGGTGAAATTTGTTGAACAAGTGTTTTTTCTCCAACTTTATTAGCAATAATAATATATGTAAGTTCTAATTTGATTGTTGTACTTTTCAACTCGAATATACCCATAATGAATTTCAGTTCATTGTAAAGAAAGTCGACATGTATTTTGGTTGTGTTTGACAATGGAGAAAATATTTTCCCAGAAAATGAAATAGATAACAAATCATTCGAAAATGAAATAGATAACAAATCATTCGTGTATTTGCTAAAAATACGTTTTCCTATTAGAACAATTAAAATGTTTTAAAAGGAGTATTTGGTTAAGCAGAAGTGCTTATCACAAACAGAATGCAAAATAGACCAACTGAAAAAAATTGAAAAGGGGTTTTCGAAACCTGATATCAAGAGAAAAGCTAACCGATTTGTAGCTAAAATTTTGTGAAAAAATTGGGAACGCTAGAATATACAATTACTATTTGCCAAGGAATATAACATTCAAAGCACTTACGAATTTCAAATTCAATCAGTAAAATGTAGCCACAAAGGAATATTTTTCATGATTTACAGTTCCCCATCTGCATTGTACTCTCTATTTATTATACAGTTCCAAGTGTATCAGCATTAATTCTGTGATTCTGTCTGTGTTGCTCAATTTATGCACCCAGGCATAGTCTTGCAGCATGGACCACTATACCCGGTAAACGGAAGAAGACGGTGAGTGTGCGATTGACAAAGTCAATTTCTCCAAAGTGAGCATCATACAATATCTCTTGGCTATATACCACAACGTATCCCATGAACAATGCAAACACAATGCATACCTATCACACAAGCAGTGCTCATCATTAAGTCAAGTCATATTATTCAATCATTAGACAGAAGTAATGATTTATAGGATGTGTGTGAGCAGATTATATGCATACAACTGCTTACCTTTAACATCCGATGAGCTGTGTGGCTGTCAATGTATTCTGAATTACTAGCATTGAAGGTGGAAAAAAATAGAAGAGAAGAATAGAACAGGCTGCCCATGTAGATTGCACTCCTTTCCCTCGTAAACGTGGATCCAAACCAGATAATTCCAATGCCAAGTGTTGGAGGTGCCAAAAGGCGGCAAACAAGCCTGTAGAGCAAGCAAGGAATGCTTTCTGAAGTTAGATATTTTTCAAATTATCAAAATATTCCTCAAAGAAGGAACACAGAACAACAAGAGATAATCAACTACACATACAGAAGGAGCAAAGTAACTACTATTGAATTCATTAAGATGTAATATAATGTAGAAATTGAAAGAGCAAGCAAATGTCTTTGTCATATTAGAAATGACTTCAGGAAATCAGTGGAAAATTATTTAAGTGCACTCTTCATAATTTCGTCATGTTTCTTAGTTTCACTCATTTATGAGCACTCTTCAGAACTCCTTCACATGTACTGCTAGCTAAGAATGCACATAATGGTAACATCCCCTAAACCCATGGAAGATATAAGTAATTACAGGGTATTGGAATCTGAAGTACAAGTCATCAGTTTATAAATCCAAAAACAATAGCTTACAACCTAACAACAGATCACCAACATCCCAACACCCATATTGCTCATATTGCACAATATTTCTCATTCATATGCCTAGTATAGTCAAATTCCAGGTTCTCCAAAACAAAATGTCAAATTCATCTACTCCAATGCCATTGTTCTAACAAGTCCTTATGAAAGAATTTCCAGAGTAGGTAGTCATTCTAATTAAAGATGAAAGACAATAGTTTCTACAAGGATACCATTTTTTCCAGTAAGGATTTTGAGTAGATCTAATTATTAAGGATAAAGTAATCACTAGTATATATACCAATCAGCATTAAGCCTTTCTCTGTACACAATTGAAGACTACAAAAATCAGGTTTCTGATAATATGATATGACAAGAAAGCAGTAAAAGCAACCACATAGAACATCAACAACAGAAATATCTGCCATCTTTCTAGTCTTACTCTTGATCTATTTCAAAGAAATATTTGGTAAAAATGCCAATAGAAGCACCGATGGAAAAGGCAGCAATCATCAAGAGTAAGACCCTCGTCCTCTGCATAGACAGAAGATTTACGATATAAGAAGCGACCTCAATAATAAATCAACAACTTGGAAGAAAATTTACAAGACACAGATCACGTACCACTCTCAATGGTGATATAAAGTAAAGACAGAGTAAACTTGCTACAAAAGAAAGGATTGTGAACCGCCCTCCTGCTTCCCATATCCAGTGCGAGAAGGATCCAGAAGTAAAGCTCCACATGGCAAAGAAGAGAGTAAGATATACCTATATTTCAGCAAACTAATCAATTACAGGAAATAAGGGGAATCCAATACTTGGAAGCAGAAGTGAAAATGCATCTTCTCCAGCTAACTAGGTTTTGCAAAGAAAGAAAAGATCAAACACAAGATGCTGAAACCAGAAATTGCATGAAACAAATTAATCCCTCCGTCCAAAATTACATGAAACGAATTTATTTTGGGAAGCTTGAATGCAATTTCATCCAAACTATTCAAAAACAACTTTCAAGACTGTAATACCAAACTTTACTCAAAATCCTAGAGGAAGTTACAAAAGAAAATACTCAAGATTAATTGTATGCCAATCGTTTTGTGTGATTATCACTAACAGCATAAGCAAGTACAAAAGAAGAGAAAAAATTACGGTAATACATGTAAAATATTCAGAAAAATCGAAATTCATCATGAATCCTGAAGAATTAAGTAAAGCAAGTACAAAAGATGAGAAAGAATTACGGTAATACATGTAAAATATTTAGAAAAATCGAAATTCATCATGAATCCTGAAGAATTAAGTAAAGCAAGTACAAAAGATGAGAAAGAATTACGGTAATACATGTAAGCTATTCAGAAAAATCAAAATTCATTATGAATCGATTCCAAGTAGATCTCCTGATACAGCTATCAGTAACGAAATTACAAGATAGAAATCTCTCGATTACAATATTTTTCATAATCAACATTTTAATGAAACAGTAAGAATGAATGTACCCTCTTCAAGCTTGCATAAGCGTGCTGGGTCATTTCTCCAGTATTCATCAGGTCTTCTCTTGTCCAATTCCTTACGAAGTAAGCTCTCACAGCATTCATGGCCTGGAGTTTCATATCTGAGAACTTCATGTTTTTTTGCTTCAGAGGGAAAACGAAATCAGAAATTTGATGAAGAAGAATGAGGAACGTGAGCTCTATTTATAGTTCGTTATACACACAAGAGTTTGTTACCAAAGACTGCCCCTCGCCGTTATTCTGTTTGCGAATATTTTCGGCTCTACCTTTCAGTTATTGGCTGAGTTTTGGGGATATCGCAAGGGTAATTTCGTCACAGAAGAAAAGGAGAAGAATCTTCTGAGTTCTGTGCTCAGTTGTAGGCGGGAAAGGGGAGAGGTCTGGGAATATAAATTTTTTAGGGAATTTTTGTTTCCTTTTCCCTTTTTTATTGTTATAAAATTAATCTCACTGTTTACTCAAAAAAATTGTGTGCTGTTTATTTATAAAACGCGAAATTTATACGGTACTTTCTCCATTCATATTTGCATGTCATCTTTGCTATAAATATATGTATATATATAAAGAGTTTTTTTTACTTCTCATAACATCTCATAATAAATTGAGTCTTTTCTACTACTCTTAACATCTCATTATAAATAAGTTTTTTTTACTACTATTTCATTTGGTTAAAGTATTCACAATTTCTCTTCTTTTCCACCATCTTAAATTTTAGGTACTTACCATCCCTTACCCCTCCCCACCCTTTTTTTTTTATATGCTTACTTAATATTCATAAGTTTAAATTGAAACAAGTTTCTATGACTTCTTCTATTATTTTGGAATAGATTGACATGTTTACATTAGCTTGGATAGGATACAATCAATGTGGAATGTCACTTGGTTTCATGCATTACGATTTACGCCCTTGGGTGCCGTTGGAATCGAGGGCGTGAGACGGTCTTTGCTTGAAGCGCTAGTTTTTGGTGAATTATGTTGAAACTGTGTTTTTTTCTCTTTATTTATATATTAGTACTATGTTCAAACTCTATTGTTATCTTTGCTTGAAGCGCTAGTTTTTGGTGAATATAAGGATATTGAATTCCAGTTCATTTTCAAGAAAGTCGACATGTAGAATATACAATTATTTGCTAAGGAATATATACAAAGCACTTTTCATCAGTGATCAGACTAACGAATTTCAAATTCAATCAGTAAAGTGTAGCGACAAAGAAATGCATTTCATGATTTACAGTTCACCATCTGCATTCTACTCGCTATTTATTCTATAGTTCCAAGTACATCTGAGTTACTCAATTTCTGCACCTCAGTATAGTCTTGCGGCATGGACCACTATAGCCGGTAAATGGAAGAAGACAGTGAGTGTGCGATCGACAAAGTTAATTTCTCCAAAGCCAGCATCATACAGCATCTCTTGGCTATATACCACCAAGTACCCCAAGAACAATGCTTGCACAGTGGTTACCTACCAGAAACAGTATTTATCAGGTCAGTCATATTATTCATTCATTAGACAGAAGTAGTGATTTATAAACATGAGAACTGTGTTATAGTATGAGTGTGATCACATCGTGCGCATACAACTGCTTACCTCTAACACCCAATGAGCTGTGTGGCTGTCAAGGGCCTCTAAAGCATTCAACATAAAGCTGGAGTACATTAGAGCATAAGAATGAACCAGGCAAGCCATGTAGATTTCTCTCCTTTCCCTTGATAATAAGGATCCAAACCAGAGAATTCCAATGCCCATTATTGAACCTGCCAAAAAGCTGAAAACAAGGCTGGAGAGCAACCAAGGAATGCTTTCTGAAGTTAGATAAGGAACACATAACAATAAGAGCTAATCAACTACACATACAGAAGGAGCAAAGTAACTACTATTGAATTCACATTAAGATGCAATATAATGTAGGAACTGAAAGAGCAAGCAAATGTCTTTTGTCATATTAGAAAAGACTTCAGGAATCAGTGGTAAACTATGTAAAGTGCACTCTTCATAGTTTGGTCATGTTTCTTAATTTCACTCATTCATGAGCCATACTTGGTGCAAATGCAGAACTCTTTCACAATATGGTCATTATATTGTCAAATTTCTATGTGCTATAACATATACTACATGAAAGATAATTGTAAGATACAATTATCTAAATGTATCCAGTCAAGTTAGGAATCTGAAGTACAAGTCATCAGCTTATAATCTAACAACAGACCAACATTCTAACACCCAATGCTCGTCATATTGCTTGATGTTTTTCATTCATATGCTAAGCTGAATGCGAGTTCTGAACTGTGAAGGCCTAGGTGATCGATGATGCCATTAATGCACAATTTTTCAGACATTCCAGGTTCTCCAAAACATACGGGATCCTAGTAGCCAATTTTAGCTAACTGCATGCAGACATTATACAAAATTTCAAATTCCTCCACTGTTATGCCCATGTTCTCACAAATCTTTATGAAAGAATCTCATAGAGAGTAGTCATTCTAATTGAAGATGGAAAACAATAGTTTCTGCAAGACAACAAGGATACCCATTTTTCCAGTTAGGATTTCGAGTAGAACTAATGAATAATGATTACTAAAGATAATGGGATTAGAAGTATATACCAATCAACAACAAGCCTTTCTATGTACACGATTGAACACTAAAAAATCAGGTTCCTGCTGATATGATATGCCAAGAAAGCAGTAAAAGAAACCATATAAAACTTCAATGGCAGATATCTGAACAATGTTTAGCATTTTCTGATTCTTACTTTTGATGGACTACGAAGAGATATTTGGTATAAAACCCAATAGAAGTGCCGAAGAAAAAGGCAGTAATCATCAACAGTGAGACCCTTTGATTCTGCATAGACAGAACATTTACGATATAAGAAGCGACTTCAATAATAATTCAACAACTTGGAAGAAAGCTACAAGACATAGATCACTTACCACTCTCATTGTCATTGGTAATGTAAAGTAAAGCCCGAGTAAACTTGCTACAGAAGAAAGGACTGTGAACGGCCCTACCTCTTCCCAGAACAAGTGCAAGTAGTATCCAAAAGTAAAGCTCAGCATGGCACATAAGAGAGTAAGATACACCTATAATTTCAGCAAACTAATCAATCACAGGAAAAAAGAGAATCCAATACTTAGAAGCAGAAGCGAAAATGCATTTTTTTTTCCAGCTAACTAGGTTTTGCAAAGAAAGAAAAGATCAAACACAAGATGCTGAAACCTGAAATAGCATGAAGCAAATTAATCCCTCCATACAAATTTCTATGAAACAAATTCATTTTGGGAACTTGAAAGCATTTGGCACCATTCAATTTCATTTCAACTATTCAAAAACAACTTTCAAGCCTGAATAGGGAGCAAAGTTTCAATACCAAACTCCACTCCGATCATTTTATCAGATTATCACTAACGGCATAATCAAGTACAAAAGAAGAGAAAAATATTCAGAGAATCGAAATTCATTATGAAGAATTAAGTAAAGCAAGTAGAATGCTGGCTTATTCTTATTTGAACAATACAGAAACTGTAAAACAAATCGATTCCAAGTAGATCTCGTGATACAGCTATCAGTAACGAGATTACAAAATAGAAAAATCTCGATTCCTCCCTCAACATTTTAATCAAGTAGAACAATAATACTTACATTTGTGATCAAATATAAAGAAAAAATGAAACCATAAGAATGAATATACCCTCTTCAAGCCTCTGTAAGCGATCTCGGGAATTTCTCCGAAATTCATGAGGTCTTCTCTTGTCCAATTCCTGTTGAAGTAAGCTCTCACAGCATTCGTTGCCCGGAGTTTCATATCTAATAACTTCATGTTTCTTGATGCAGAGAGAAAACGGAATCGGAAATTTGATGAAGAAGAATGAGGAACGTAAGCTGTGTTTATAGTTTGTTATACACAGAAGAGTTCGTTATCAAAGACTGCCCCTCGCCGTTACTCTGTTTGGGACTATTTACGTTTCTACCTTTCAGTTATGGGCTGAGTTTTGGGTATATTGCAGGGGTACTTTTGTCAAAGATGAAAAGGACAACAATCTCGAGGCTCAGGTCGTTGGCGGGAAAGGGGAGAGGTTTCTAAATAATTTTTCTGGGGAATTTCTGTTTCCTTTTCTCTTTTTTTATATTAAACTAGTCTAGAACGCACGTGTGTCCTGTATTAATTAGTACAAAAAAATTAAATGATATAGACGCTACTAAAACTTGCAAGTAATATTGAGTAACTAAATTTTGAAAGAGAAATATAATTGTTTGTATTTATACACAATCAATTGAATTGGTATATGTGATATATTTCTTATATAGTTCTAATATATCTTATACTTAGTACAACATGTCCCTTATTTTATTTTTTTATATTTCAACAACAATTGTATCTTGTGTAAGAAACTATAACCTCCTTTTTATAGACACATGCATATCAAGAAGTTGTTGCCGAGTAAAAGACGTATTTTATGTTGTACAACATATGTTTCTTTAAGGTGGATAATGTATCATTGTCAATTTCATGGATACACTTAAAGAAATGAGCAAACTACATAAATCCCACTACTTTATACTATAATTACTTAGAATCCCGGTAGATTTTTAAATTACTTGCTATACCATTTTTTTTTCCAGTTGGATACATGAATCAAAAGTGGTTAGATATGTGTCTCTACCATAATTAAAAGGAAGAGATACATTATTTAATTAATTTGAATTGAATGCTATAACTTAATTCCACAATTAAAGGATTAAAAATGGGATGTAACAAACCACGAATTAGGTGGATTAATTGATATCAAACTGTTACAGCTTTCTGAAAAAAGGACTAAATCATATTGTTACGACATTCATGTTTGTGGATCTCTGAAAGCAATTACGCAAATTATAGAATTGATGGAATACTATTGAGAGAGAATGCAACCTACAATGATCTAGTCAATGGTATTTCAACACAACTAGGGATCGATTGTTCACGCAAAAGAATGGAGATAAGATACATGATGAAAGGCAATGTAACTCCAATGGAAATTCGAAATGAGATGGGTATGAGGTTTTTTATATATGGAATTGAAAAGACGTCAATCCAATTGTGGTTTGTATCCATTATGCATAACAATGGAAGAGCAAAATTTTGGATGCAACAACAATGGTGAAATATCTTTTGACCAAGATACATCCATGGTTGAAGTTGGAGGTGACGTTGGGACTGTATCTGTAGCAGCTCTTGTAGATAATCGTAGTGTAAATGTGTTATGCGTTTTGGATAGTAATTTGGATCATGTTATGTAGAGTTGGGTATGAATTTTTACATCCAAAATATGCATTGAGTAGGTTGAGAAGAAGGGGTAATGGAAGATGAAGGATAATAATGTGTAGGTGTGGATAGAGATACAAAGTAGACGTGTGACTTGGGAGGGAAACAGTGGATTTGGAAAGAGAGAAATTGATTTGAATTGTAAAAAGTCCCAATAATTAAGGAAGTATAATATTAGGATAATTATTAATTACCACTTTTAATGGGATTGTGTATCTGATTATATTTTTTAAAAGATACGATATATTTATTTAAAAATGGAATTATAAGTAATATTTTTAAACTAGTACAATTAATTTCGGTTGTATATAATTATAATAAATAGTAATCTGTCTTATTTTCAAAATTACGAATATCACATTTTTAAAAAGACTAATTATTTATATCATTTGGATGATTTAAAAGTGTCAAATATTCTTTGCACCTAAGTTGCTTAGACTTTCACTTTCGGTGCCATATCCGTAGCAGGTTCCCCAAAACTACATTACTTTTGAAGAATCCGACATGCACTCATTGACATTTTTAAAGAGTCCGAGCAACATAGCTTTACACCGACTAATATATATATCTTAAATTCTTCTAAAAATACCAGTGACACTAATTAACTCATGCACAAGGGCTAATCTAACCTTCACATTATATTCTCCCGACTTTCAACTTTTTAAAAAGATGGCAAAATCACTAAACATAGAGATGATTATGTTTATAGTAATAGTGGCTGCAATTCAACTTTGCAGCCACCACCAGGCGGAGGGAGCGTCTCGAGGGGAGAACCTTGCAGCGCGGAAGCTAATGGTGTGTGTTTATTGTTGGTTTTTCGGGTGATGTCATAAATATCATGAGACTGAGGAAGATTATGGGGATTGATAATGCTAGTATTTCTTTTTTCCAAGGCTATGTTGTCTTTGTGGACGTTAGTTCAGTTCTTAATTTTCTAGTATTATGTAAGTTGCTTCTATTTTCGTTTTCCTGTATTAGAGCAGGGGGACCTAGGTGGACCCTAGAGGTTCACTCGAATCGCCTTGTCAAAAAAACTATATTGTATATATAACGTCAAATTTTGATTTTATGCGTATATATATTAAAATGAATCCCTTAAAAACAAAGTGCAAACTTGGCTTAGTGGATAAGTTGTTCAAGAAATGCCCCTTTGCCACATGTTTGAATCCCATGGACAACATTTTCCCCCCTCTTTTTAATGTTTTGGAAAATGGAATTTTTGGGCTTAGACTTTCTTCTTCTTTTTTCATAATTTTTCCTTTTATTCCATTTCTTCTTTTTAATTTGTTTTTGTTTAAATTTATTAGACACATTCTTTTTCTTTCTTTTTTTTATTCTTTTTATATCTATTATTCATTTTGTTTCAACGTAACTCTTTTTTCATATACTAACTTGAATAACTCTTTTAAAAAATGATGAATTATTTTTAACTTGAAATTGAGATAGAAATATAATTTATTTTTAAAAAAAAGATAAATTAGATGTAATTGAACGAAGAAACTTAAATATCATCAACATCCTTTTAAGAATATTAATTTATAGAATTCATGAAATTTCTTTTATATTTTTAATTCTATTTTAGAGAGATGGAAACTAAACTTATTTGATTTATTCGTTATTTGTCTTTTTTACAAATTATGACTAACCTAGTAAATTGAACTATATGAACTAAAAAATTGATGATGTTATTTATTTATCTTCTGAATATGCATTATAATATTAGTAACTTTATTCTTACACATTTTTAGAGAATCTTGACGATTTTCATAGTAATATGTGATTGATTGGATGCTAATTTAAAATTTTTAAAAGTGAAAAATAAAAAAAAAAACATTACAAAATAAAAGTATAAAAAGCACAAGAAATTTAAGAATGCTCGATGGAGCATGATAAAAGTAGAAAGAAATGCTTAATACGGTATGATAAAGTAAGTTAAATTTAGCATGATAAGGTAAATATCTTTCTTCCCCGTCTCGCTCCCTTTTTCATCATTTGATTTTCACGTGTTTTAGGAATTAACTTATGTAATACGGTCGATCCATTAAAATTATTATGAATATATCTTTATCCTCGATATCTTTGATTAGCTTAACTTTTACTTTTATGAACCAATGAAATATCTATGGTTCATGTAAAAAGAGCATGTCGAGGGACTACTACGCTCACCGCGCACTTGCATTACTACCTGAACTTCTTCTTTATACTTTGAACTCCCTGAGCAAAAATCCTGAGTCCGCCAATGTATTAGAGTTGCTGAAATTTTAACGCATTGCATTAAGAACGTTCTTGTTAAATATGTGGTGATAATGAGGGTTTAACTTATGTGCACGATAGTGTGTATATATAGTACTCCTTATGAATCAGTGATTCTCCTGTACAGACATATTATTAAGGTTAAATTCTAACCAAACAGAAGAGAATAAAAAAAAGTATGCAGAGACAACTATATGTATATATATATATAAAATGACACCGCTTAAAAAAGTCTTGCGGATGTATAATTATGTATATATATAATTAGTACATTTTATGAATATTCAAAAATCGTCAAGTATTTTGTTAAATTAGTATTAGTTAGTTAGTAGATTATATTTTGGAATTAATTAATTTATAATTATTTTATTTCGTTAAGATTAAAAAGCTTGTTAATTAATCTTAATTAAATCTTAGTTGAATTTAGTATATTTGGTTACGTTCTTAATTAGAATTGACCATAACTGAAACTGGTGTTGTCATGTCCTAATTTGAAATCTAACCCCTTTTGTAAATGTAACTATTTTGTTACCTCACTTTAAACTCAATTTTCGGACCAAATTTAGGCCAGACCCAGCGGATCCAATTCATTTCCGTTTATATAATAAAAATAAGAAAACGAATGCCACGTGTCAATAAAGACCGCCACATCCTCCATTTAATTATTATTATATTTTTTTAAAAAGACCTAGCATTGGAAGTCTAGTGGAATTTGGATCCACTGGGTTATATACGTGAACATTGGAATAATTATTTATTGTATTTTGAAGTGGACAAGAAAAATTAAAATTATTGCTACAAACGAATAAAATTTAAGTCCATAATAAGACCCTACAAACGAATGCCAAAGACCGCCACGTCATCATCCATTTTAAAATTATTTTGATATACGAATAATCATATTTTTGTTCTCATCCCAAACGACCGTTACTTACAAAACTCTGTTCTCTTCCTCACTACCGAATATTATCACACACGCTCTTCTCAAGGCGATGAAGATGAGCCTTTTCTCTCTTCTGCAGAACCTTCAATTTCTCAATTCCCCTCTCAATTTTACTTCTTCTTGGATAAAAGAAATCAAGTTTTTTTTTTGTGTGTGTATGCAACAGACAATGACGAAAATGATGGTGGCGATAATAAAATTGCTGAGAGACAAGAGGAAGGTGGTTGTGAGGCGAATGAGGAGAGACATCGGTATGCTTCTTGAATCCCGTCAGGATGTCACTGCTCGTATTCAGGTACTTTTTCCTCTAACTTAGGGTTGGGGGTTTAGTTGATTGATTG